AGCCACCCTCGCATCTCGATGTGTTTGGCGGCGCGGGGAAGGCTCGTGCGCTGCCGCAAGGCGAGCGACGGAACGAGAGGTGTCTCTCTGCAATGGGGGCTCGACCACAAGAAACCTTCCACGGGAAGCTCGACCCTGAGACCCCAAGACGTCCCGTGATTCTTGGTGTCGGAACGTCACGCTGTCCATAGCAAAATAATCTAGAAACAAGAAGCGCAAAGGGACCCTGGAGGCAAGCAGGGTGTTTCTTGGCATGGGTCTCCACTGTAGACACCAACGCCAGGACTCCCCATGTTCTCCACATTCTCTACCTGGTCGTCCTCCCTCCCACATCCCACACTTTGCATGTCTGGTCCTAAAAGATCCACGGCTGTTTGTGTCTGTGTGTGTCGTGAGGAGGAGGAGGAGGAGAAGGAGGAGGAGGAGGAGGAGGAGGAAGAGGAGGGGGGGAGGAGAAGGAGGAGAAAACAAAGGATGAGGAGGACGAGAACGAGGAGGAGGAGGAGGAGGAGGAGGAGGAGGAGGAGGAGGAGGAGGAGGAGAGAGAGGAGGAGGAGGAGAGGATCAGGAAGAGGATGAGGAGGAGGAGGAGGAAGAGGAGGAGGAGGAGGAGGGGGAGGAGAAGGAGGAGTGGGAGGAGGAGGAGGAGGAGGAGGAGGAGGAGGAGGAGGAGGAGGAGGAGGAGGAGGAGGGGGAGGAGGAGGAGGAGGAGGAGGAGGAGGAGGAGGGGAGGAGGGGGGGGGAGGGGGAGGAGGAGGGGGAGAGAAGGGGGAGGAGGAGGAGGAGGAGGAGGAGGAGGGGGAGGAGGAGGAGGAGGAGGAGGAGGAGGAGGAGGAGGAGGAGGAGGAGGAGGAGGAGGGGGAGTAGGAGGAGGAGGAGAGGAGGAGGAGAAGGAGGAGGGGGAGGAGGAGAGGAAGGAGGAGGAAGAGGGGGAGGAGGAGGGGAAGGATGAGGAGGTGGAGGAGGAGGAGGCGGAGAATGAGGAGGAGGAGGAGGAGGAGGAGGAGGAGGAGGAGGAGGAGGGAGGAGGAGGGGGAGTAGGAGGAGGAGGCGGCGGGGAGGGTGGAGGAGGAGGAGGAGGAGGAGGAGGAGGAGGAGGAAGAGGAGGGGGAGGGGGAGGAGTAGGAGTGAGAGTAGGAGGAGGAAGAGGAGGAGGACCTCCAGGAGCCCCTCCCGGCTCCAACAAAAAGTTGGAGCGGGCGGTCTTGGGACTGTTTTTGGTCTCCAGGGGTCCTCGCCGGGCCCTGGGACCGTCGAAAAACGACTCAGGACGAAAAACTGGGCCTAGGGAAGTGGTCCAGAGCTGCGGGGCCCACGCATCAAAAAAAATAGAGCAACTTGAAGTCTGGGTACACCTCAAGAAACGGCCCCTTCTGCTAGATGATCGCGCCGCATCGCCAATGCATCGCCGAGGCGTCGGCACTATCGGCGTGAACAACGCTAACTCGCGCGTCTGCGCCGAGCACACCTCAACAACGAGACCTCCTGCGCGCCGCCAAGCTGTCGTCTGGGTCATCTTCCTTGGCGGTGCGCAACAGGGGGTAGGGGGAGGGGGGAGGCTTTTCGGAAGGGGGCCTGCTTTTTTGGAAGGCGCAGGCCCTGCAACTGTAAGTGCGGCCCAAACCTTCTGAGGAGCAGGGGCGCTTCTAAGATAAGCCCCCCCCTCCCCCTGCCCCCCTTTGCGCGTGGCTGGCACAAAGGGCTCCCAACTTCGCGCTTCGCGCAGCGCGAAGCGCGAAGTGCGATTAACTCCGCGCTCTCGCGCCGCCTCCCAGGGGAGAAGAGGAGGAAGAGGAGGAATCGGAGCCGAACCGCGAAGCGCGAATAACTTCGCGCCCTCGAAGGCGCCCTTGCTGCCAGCGGCTCCTCCGGGCCGGCACTGTCGCGGACGCCGTCCTCGGGCGCACTCCCCGCCTGCAGGCCGAGCACCCGGCGGGAGGCGGCCCACAGGAGGGCCACGGCGACCCTCATGGCGAGGGGGGGCCTCGGCGACGAGCTCGGAACATGGGAGTGTTGTTCGGGGGCGGCCGAGAGAGGGGCGTCCGAGAGGGGGGGGGGGGGCAACTCATGGCCGGCGGCATGTGCGCTGTCCAGGTCGGGGGCCAGGGACGTATGGGAATAGGAAGGGGCACCATTAGATCTGGGGAGATCTCATGGCCCACTCCATGATATCCCCCCCCCCCTACACCCTGCGAAATGCTTAAGAAATCATGGGTTAAGAAATTCATAGTCTCAGAACTTCAATAAAAACCAAACATTTCTATTAAAATCTTAGGATTTACATTGAAACGTTAAGAATAATCGAGACTCTGGCCGAAAACTTGGGTTTTCTTAAGCATCGCCTAAGGTGTAGTCATCAACCCCCTCTTTGCCGCCCCCGTGTCGTGGGGGGGCGCCGCTCCTGGCTGGGAGCGTCCTGAGCCAACCAGACTGCAGGGTACGGTCAGGTCGGGCCTGTCCCCCTACAGGGGGATCTGGAACGAAAAATGATCCATATTTAAAACATGCTCAAAAGATGCCCAAAAATACTCGAAAACTTATCCCCCGACTATTATTTGACTATTTCTGAATATTCCCCCTGTAGAGGGACACGCCCGACTTAAGCGTACGGCAAGAAGCTTCCTGAATTGAGTCTCAGCAGATGGGGTCGGAGCATCGCGCCGCATCGCCGATGCATCCACGATGCATCGGCGACGCGTCGGGGACGTCGGCGTGGAGAAAATCGGGCTCCGCGCCGAGCCGTATCGCCGGTACAGCGGCGATGCAGAAGGATCCTCCGAGCCCAGGGAGGCCTCGTCAGGAGTGGCCCGAGCCAACCAGGCTGCCTGGCAAGGTGATGTTGAGCTACCTACGGCACCTGGCTCCATGCTCGACTGAGCGTGGACGTTCCACGGCCTGCCCGCATCAACCATGCAGTGGCGGGGAGCCGCGGGGGGACAAGGCACGTCAGGCATCGCCCAGCGTCCGCCGAGCGGAGCGAGCGCGGCCGTGCGAACCACCTTGAGCTGAACTGTGGGGTTCGAGAGCGGCTACTCGGGAGCGACAGAGGGGGGTGTCCAACAGGGGGCGGTGCAAATCATGACCGACGGCATGTGCGCGGCCCAGCGGGGGCGCCAGGGCCAGGGACGTAATGAAATAAGAAGAGGCGCCTTGAAACCTGGGAACATATCATGGCCCACGCCATGATATCCACCCCCCCTAGTCATCACCCCCCTCTTTGTCGCCCCCGAGCTCTGGGGAAAACATGCCGAGGGAAGTGGAGGGAGCCAGGACAAAGGGGCGGACGAGGAGGCGAGGAGGGGGAGGGGCGGCCGTGCCGATGCGAGGTCTGGTGACCGGCAAGGGCAGGAGAGCCCAGAATCGGATCGATAAGTCGGACCGGCGATCGAAATGACTCGGATCGACGGAAATCGGCAGCCGAGTCGGAAAGGTCGAATCGGCGGAAGTCGGCACATTAGTAAGTCTCCATTGAAAAATCGGACCCCAAATCGGAATCCGAAGTCCAATCGAATCGAAAACGGAAGCCATCGAAGTCGAATCGAATCGGAGGAATCGAAACGAGCCCTGCAGGGGGGAGGGGGGGTCAGGGCCGAGGCTGCTTCGAAAGCCGTGGGGCGCACGACTGGGACCCCCTGCGTGCCTGCTCTGGTGCTGCCTGGAAGCGGGGCCTCACTGCCTGGGGAGGGGGGCGGGGGACCCCGCCTGCACCGCATACTCCCCGCCCCGCTCCTGCTCCTCTCCTCCGGGCGGTGGCCCCAGCAGTCAGGACAGGCTTCTGCGAAGTCTTCGGTGGCAGTTCACGGGAGCCTCCCGTGCCATCTTGTCGGCTCTTGCGAGTCGACGCTGGTCTGAGACCCCAGGGCGTCCCTTGATTTGTGGTGTGGGAACGTCGCGCCTTCCACAGCACAAACATTGAAACACAAGAAACCCATAGCACCCTGGAGGGAAGCAGGGCGTCTTGGCATGGGCCCCGACTGTAGGCGGCGGGCCCTGGGGGAGGTGACAAGGGGCGGGCCTTTCCAGAAGGCTCGAAGTTGCCTAAGCCTTCCCCGAAGGCACAAAAAACTTCTCAGGAGGCGCGAGGACTTCTGCGAAGTCGAGCCGCCTTCTGTTTGGACGCCCGAAATGGGCACCGAAAAAATGGGTACAATGCCCAACAGCAAATGTTGTCCAAAACCGACAGCGGCCGCTGTTGGGCGGGCGACCTCCTGTCTCGAATGGACACAGGCCGCGGCGGCGTGGACAGCGAGTTCTGTTCAGAATGAACAAGAGCTGCTGTTGGGCATCGTACCCATTCTTTCAGTACCCATTTCGGGCGTGCAGATTCTGAGACATCTCCCCCCCTCGCTCGCCGCCGACTGACGTCGCTCGGGCGTCGCGCGCGGCGCGCGCGGGCGTTCGCGGTATACTGAAATCCGTGTTGCAACGAGCCCTCGCTTCGAGTGAGCCGTGAGCACCCATAGCTAGCCCAGCGGCAGGAAGGATCCAGGAAAACCCTGCTCCTCCAGCCAGTCCCCCCCCCTGCTACTCCACTGCATCCTTCCCCTGCTGCTTCCCTCCCAGCTGCTCTCCCACCTGCTCTGCGATCCCCCCTCCAGAGAAGAGCGCCGACAGCCTCTGGAAGACTGCAGGAGCACTGTCAGAAGATCGTTCCTTGGTAACCCCGCCCGACAACCACTAAGACGCCGATCGACCAACGACCTCGACGACTGCGTGGAAAAGGGAAACGATCCGGGATTTGCTGGGTGCTCTAGCAGAAAGGCGCCACCCTGAGACAGCACAGCTCCGCACAAGCCAAGACAGTGCAAAAGCAGAGCGTTCGCCTCCAGGCACCCGCATCCTCTCAGCAGCCCTGAGGCCCCGCAGCCCCAGCAGCTGGTCGCGTCGCCGAACGGGCGGAGGACAGACCATTGGCGAGCGCCGACGGCGGCGGCGGCGGCGAGCGGCGCGCGGCGCGCGGCGAGCGGCGCGCGGCGAGCGGCGGGCGGCGGGCCGCAGACCGCTCGGAGGGCGACCGCTCCTCCGAGTCCTCGGCGCCGCTGAGGTCCTCGGCGGCGGGCCACTCCTGCGCCGCGCCGCTGCCGAGGCCGCCGCCGCCGCCGACACAGCCGCAGGCTCAAGTCGGGCGTGTCCCCCTACAGGGGGATGTTCGATGAAAGATACAAAAAATACTCAAAACATAGTCCAGAATGGAAAAAAATACTCAAAAAATAGTCCCCAGACTATGTTTTGATCATTTTTGAATGTTCCCCCTGTTGAGGGACAAGCCCGACTCAACCGTAGCCGCCGACGTCGACGTCGTCGGCGTCGCCGTCGAGGTCGTCGCCGTCGTTGTTGTCACCGTCGTCGTAGTCGTCGTCGCCGCCGCCGCCATCGTCGGGAAACATTGGTCATCGGACCTCCAGAGACAGCCGGTGACCTCCCGAGACCTCTGGAGCCCCAGATCAGAACGCGCCCCAGGACGTGTCAAGGTTCGCGTGGTCAACGTAGTCGGCGTCGGCATCGTCGTGGTCGTGCTCGTCGTCGCCGTCGCTTGGTCGTGGTCGTCAGACGTATCGGAAGGGCAGCTACGCCGAGATCCCCTCGACGCTCCTGCCCGTGAGACCTCCATCGGTTGGGTGGAATTCCATATGTGACTCGCCTTAGCTCAACGACGCTTGCCTCAACAGCTCCTGGCAGCTGCAAGGATGAAGGGCTAGTCCCACCAGCCCTTTGGGCGTGAGTGGTTTAGAGAGCCCGCTCTGTTCTCAACCCCCCTTCTTCCCCTTCGGGGAGGGGTTTACCCCTCCCCCTACCCCCTCCCCCTGGGCCTGGAGAGGGGGTCCGGCGGGTCGTCAGGGGGGTCAATTTCGACTCCTGGGAGGGCTAAAAAACGACACCCCTCACGAGGATTCTGGCCCCGACGGGGGGAGGCAGAAAAAACCCTCTCCTCTTCTTTGAAGCCAAAATCATTGATTTTACTACGGTTTCGGCGCCATTTTGGCCTTCTGAGGGGGCAGCGCTCCTCTTCCTTCATAGCAAAATCACTGATTTTACTAAGGTTTTGGGCTCATTTTGTCCTTCTCAGGGGGCAGCGCTCATTTGCGCTTCTGAGGAGGTCGCAAGAGGCCCCAAGATGGCCCCAAGAGGCCCCCAGGAGGCTCCCAAGAGGCCTCCAAGAGGCCCCCAAGAGGCCCCCAAGAGGCCCCAAGTGGCCCCAAGAGGCCCCCAAGAGGCCCCCAAGAGGCCCCCAAGAGGCCCCAAGAGGCCCCAAGAGGCCCCCAAGAGGCCCCCAAGAGGCCCCCAAGAGGCCCCAAGAGGCTCCAAGAGGCCCCCAAGAGGCCCCACGAGGAGCCCGAACGACTCACACCAGGACGAGGGGCCCGAACGACTCACACCACGAAGAGCCCGAACGACTCACACCAGGAGGAGGGGCCCGAACGACTCACACCAGGACGAGGCGCCCGAACGACTCACACCACGAGGAGCCCGAACGACTCACACCAGGACGAGGGCCCCGAACGACTCACACCACGAGGAGCCCGAACGACTCACACCAGGAGGAGGAGCCCGAACGACTCACACCAGGACGAAGGGCCCGAACAACTCACACCACGAGAAGCCCGAACGACTCACGCCAGGACGAAGAGCCCGAACGACTCACACCACGAAGAGCCCGAACGACTCACACCAGGACGAAGGGCCCGAACACTCACACCACGAGAAGCCCGAACGACTCACGCCAGGACGAAGAGCCCGAACGACTCAAACCACGACGAAGAGCCCGAACGACTCACACCAGGAAGAAGGGCCCGAACGACTCACACCAGGACGAGAGGCCCGGAGATATGCGGGGGCAGGCGGAAACACGCCTGAAAAACACGACTGTCGGCATGCTTCGCAAGAGTTGCTGTTTTGAGATGGGCTGGTGGGGATACGCGAAGCGTGAAGAATTACATTCAACAAAAGGATTCCGACGTAGCGTCTCGCAGATTCTTCTGAATCACTTTCAACAGTTCCACGGCTCTCTGACAGGTCGATTTCAGATATGGCTCTCGCCGTATCGCTCCACGCGTTCGTCTTAAACGAGCTCCGACAGTTGCACGGATAGACTGCGGTCCATATCCAAAGTGCGTGTTGTCTGAGGCTTGCTCACACCTAGTGAGAGGATGCGTAAAGCTGCGCGACGGCAACACGGATTGAGGGCGGGTCTGTTTAGAAATGGAGCCATGGCTTGACAAGCCCTCAGCGTTTGTCTAAGATGACAAGCGTGCGCAACATGTCACGGGTGGAACGTCCAGATTCCTGAGCCCCCCTCAGGAGCATCATATAATCCCCCAGACCCTAGATCCCTACTCACACATCCCCCTCCTCCCCCTTCACGTCCCACCCATTGGCACGAGGGGAAAGAGGTCCTGAGGGAAAAACATGTCCTGACCCCTGGGATTTCCTCCGGAACCAGCTCCTGCTCCCGTGCCGTCTCTTTATCGCCCAAGACGCCGCGGCAGACTCAAACCGAGTTGGGCGAAGGCGAAGGGTGTTTTCGAGCGTGCGCTGACAGCGGCCCGCGGTGCAAAGTGAGAGGGAAGCAATTGGAAGAAGCGTACTGCCACAACGGCGGTCTTGTTTTCCCGTACCGCTGTGCCGTTCGGTGCACGCACTCGTCCTACTCCTCAGCCTCCTCGTCCTCCTCGTTCTCATCTTACCCCAGATTTCGTAATAAAAGGAGGGGGGTCTCATTTCGGGGGGGGGTCTCTTCCAGGCTATATTGGATGGCCTGGGGGGGTCTGGGGACGGTGTTTTGGAGGGTTCTCCCACGGGGGGGGTCTGAAATGGCTTGTCTTGGAGGGTCCAGACCCCCTTCCTTTTATTACGAAATCTGAAGTACCCAAGGCCCGAAACGCGCAACAGACGCCAGATATGCCGCAAAAGCTGCGGCCTCACTGGTTCGAGATGTCGGAGGTCTGTGCTCGGAGCGGGTTCTGTGCAGGATCTCCAGTCGGCCCGCCGCGGCGACGAGGACGGCCCACGGAAGGCCCGGCAGGAAAAGACACCCACAAACGCCCAGAAGCATCCCTCCCTCGATCCTCGAACCTCGACCCTCGCCACCTCTGGTGGCTGCGGCTGCACTGCGTCCGCCTTGATTGCTGAGGCGTCGCTGCTGCTGCCGCGGTCCCCAGCCGGCGGTTGAGCACCCGAGCGCATCAGCACCGCCAGGCGGACGCTGACATGGACAGCCGATCAACGGCTTGCACCATGTTTGTTTGCCTGCTCGACCACATGGACAGATTTTGCTGTCGGGGCGACGCCCAGCAGCAAACATTGCCCAGAAGCGACAGCGCCGTTTCTGGGGGCGGGCAACTCTCACCTCACATGGACGTCCGCGGCGGGTCCGACAGCGAGTCCTATTCAAAATAGGCACGGGCTCATGTTGGTCTCCGTCCCATTATTTCAGTCCCGATCTCATTCCTCTTGAGCAGGGGGTCAGAACACAGACAAAAGCAGGACAATCCCGCTGCCACAACGGCCTGCCTGGCAGGGCGTGTTCTGATCCATCCAATATTGGATTCCAACCCTTTCCTTGTCATCGGTCTCCTTAGGCCGCCTCTGCCTCACGCGTGGGGGAGGTAGCATCTTGGTGTCGCGCTTGTTGGACCGCAGGCAAGAATGACTTCTGCTGCGCGGCCTCAAGGTTATGTTGCTCCCATCGTACTTAAGGACCACATCCCAAATATAATTTCACCCAGCAAAGTATCGGAACAATGTTGAGCGAGTGTCGCCTCCCAGGGCATGACACGAGAAAACCCATCAGTTTCGGGACTTTTTTGGTTCGAAATTATTTCTGGTAGTCGAGGCGAGAGGTAGATTGGAACATCATCACCCTGGGGGTGGGCGCGGGGAGGTCAAGCCCCAGCACGTAAGCGCGAGTGCGAACCCTGCCCAACTCTTTGCGGGGGTGGGCTCGCGCAAAATCTCACTCCTCCGAAGGGCCACCCTCGGGTCGGAGAGACGCAAAGGGCGGGTTTGGCGGAATGTTGGAGAGATGCACAGGGCGGGTTCGGCGAATCAGCGCGCGCCCCACTGCGCTGGAGGCGGCCATGAAATATCAAGGAAAGGGTCAGGCGACGGGGCAAAAACCAACTGCATGCAGCAGATCCCCACCCTCCGCGTATGAGGGGCCGCGATTGGGGGGGGACTGGCATTGGAGGAGGAGGAGGAGGAGGCGGAGGAAGGAGGAGGAGGATGAGGAGGAGGAAGGGGGAGGAGGAGGAGGAGGAGGAGGAGGAGGAGGAGGAGGAGGAGGAGGAGGAGGAGGAGGAGGAGGAGGGAGGAGGGGAGGGAGGAGGAGCCGAGGGGTGGATCTCTACCTTCCACTGCCCTGCGCCACCGTCGCGACCGAACCCGGGGGCGCCCCTCCCCCCCTCGAGGGGAGCAGGAGGGGGCGGCGGCCGGGCGGCGGCCCGGGGGGGAGTCCTCCTCCGCCTGGCTGCCCTCCGCCGAGGTGGAGGCGCTGCCTGCGGGGCAGTCGTCGTCGTGGTCGTCGTGGTCGTCGTGGTCGTCGGTATCGAGGTAGTCGTCGTGGTCGTCGTCGTCGTGGTCGTGGTCGTCGTCGTCGTCGTCGTCGTCGTCGTCGTCGTCGTCGTGGTCGTCGTCGTCATCGTCGTGGTCGTCGTCGTCGTCGTCGTCGTCGCGGTCGTCGTCGTCGTCGTCGTGATCGTCGTCGTCCATTCGTTGTCGTCCTCATTCTGCTCCCCCTCGGAGTCGTGGGCGTCGTGGTCGGCATGGCCGCTGTGGTCGCTGTCGTCAATTCGTCGATCTCCTCCCTTTCATCCTCGTAGTCGTAGTCGTTGTCGTAAGGGGTCGCCGTGGTCGTCTTAAACGTGGTGGTAGTCGTGGTCGTCGTCGTCGTCGTGGTCGTCGTCATCGTCCATGTCCTCCTCCCCCTTTCCCTTACCTCCTCCTCATTCCCCCTCCTCTTGTTGGCTCCCCTTCCTTCTTACGGCACACACTGAAGCTTCCTCCGGCAGTGGCAAAAGAACACGTCCATGGAACTCGAGAGCCACAGATTCGTGCGATTGGTCCTCCTCCTCCTCCTGATCCTGTCCTGATCCTCCTCCCCTCCTCCCCGTCCTCCATCCCTCCCTCCTGCATCCTTCCCTCTTCGGACGCCTGCGGGGGCCTTCACAGGCCGCCCCGGGGCGCTGTCCTCCACGTCCTCCCTGTGGACAGGGGGGGACAAGAGAGGCGGTTCCCCTTGCCTCCCCCCCCCCCCTCCGCTCCCTGGGCCCCCTTGAGAACAGAGGGGGGAAACGGGATCCCCTCCCCTCCCGGCCCCCCGTGTTAGACAAGGGGGGCGGGGGGGGCTTGACCGCCAGTCTGGCGGCTAGGCTGTCGCCGTCGCCGTCCCATCGCCGCCTCAATCCCACCAGCCCTTTGGGCGCAGGTGGTCTAGGGCGTTTCCTTTTCCAACCTCTTTCCTTTCCCTGCTCGGGAGGTTTACCTCCCCCCCCTCCCTGCGTCTGGACGGGCTCCCCCGCGAGGTGTCAGAGGGCCTTGTTGGTCCAAGATGGCTCCAAGAGGGCTTCAGAGAGCGCAAGATGGCCTCCAAGATGGTCGAAGATAGCGGCAAATGGGTCAAGATAGCCTCCGACACACGTCCCAGAAGCCTCAAGACGGCCCTAAGACGGCTTCAAGTGACCTCCGAGGCCTCCAAGGATCCCCCCCCGGGGGTCTTGGCGTCTGGGCTCGAAGTGTCGAATGGGGTCGGCCTTGAAAAAAAACTCTGGCGACATACCCAACCCCTGCGCAATACGGGGCATGAGTAGCTTGGAAGGCTTTTTGCGGGGTGGGTGAAGACGTGGCATGGAAGGATATACTTCTGCAAACGGCATTCGGGAGGCTCGCGGGTCCCCGATCAAGGGATAAGGGCTTGGCAAAAAGCATTAACACGTTGAACCCCTGAGTCGTTGGGGAAATGGCAGCCCCCAGAATCGGCGAGGTCTAATTTGAGTCTGCGGCAAGTACCCATGATGCTGGCCTTCCCAACAGCTCTCGGAAGTGGCGACAATTTCGCAGATCGCAACCCCATTGAGATGCCGAGGTCTACTTTGTGGATCCGTTGTGAGTTCCCACTCTGCTGCCCCACCAGCAACCCTCGATCCCCCAGGGATGGCGAGGTGTACTTTGGATCCGCGGTGAGTGCCCACTCTGCTGGCATCCCCAGCAGCAGCCCTCGAAAGTGGCGACAACCTCGCAGATCGCGGCCCCACAAAGGATGGCGAGGTCTACTTTGGATCCGCGATGAGTGCCCACTCTGCTGGCCTTCCTAGCAGCCCTCGCAAGTGGCGACATTTTCACAGGTAACAGCCCCCACGGGATGGCGTGGTATACTTTGGATCCGCAGTGGGTGCTCACTCTGCTGGCACCCCCAGCGGCCATCGAAAATGGCGACAATTTCGCAGACCGCAGCCACCCAGGGATGGCGAGGTCTAATTTGGATCCGCGGTGAGTGCCCACTCTGCTGGCCTCCCCAGCAACCCTCGAAAATGGCGACGATTTCGCAGACCGCAGACCCACGGATGGCGAGGTCTACTTCTGATCCGCGGTGAGTGCCCACTCTGCTGGCCTCCCCAGCAGCCCTCGAAAGTGGCGACAATTTCGCAGACCGCAGCCCCACTGCCCAGGGATGTGCCCAGGGATGGCGAGGTCTACTTCTGATCCGCGGTGAGTGCCCACTCTGTTGGCCTCCCCAGCAGCCCTCGAAAGTGGCGACAGCTTCGCAGACCGCAGCCCCCACGGGATGGCGAGGTCTACTTTGGACCCGCGGTGAGTACCCACTCTGCTGGCCTCCCCAGCAGCCCTCGAACGTGGCGACAATTTCGCAGACCGCAGCCCCCCAGAGATGGCGAGGTCTACTTCTGATCCGCGGTGAGTGCCCTCTCTGTTGGCCTCCCCAGCAGCCCTCGAAAGTGGCAACAGTTTCGCAGATCGCAGCCCCCCCAGGGATGGCGAGGTCCGCACAAGGCAAGGGGAGACATGAGGGAGGCCGGAGACAGGAGGCGGGAGGAGGATGACGCGAACGCAGTGCTCTATTCAAAACAAATGCCCAAAACAAGTACCCAACCTATGAGGGTTGAGGAAGCAAGTATGAGCGATTGATCTTGTTTCCAGCTGGGCCTCCTACCACTCAGTGGGGCAGGATGCTGTGTGAGGGCGGCGGAGGGAGGAGGGAATGAACGAAAGATGACCATGGAGGAGGGGGGGTCAGAAACGCATTAGGGAGACGGAGAGAGGAAGGCGTGAAGGAAAGACGAGGAAGAGGGAGGAGAGAAAATTACGCAACGGGGAAGGGGAAGGAAGAGAGGAAACGGAAAGGTGTGGAACGGGAAACGGAAGAGAACCAACAGCAAGAGAGAGGGAAAGAGAACAAGAGAGAGAGAGAGAGAGAACAAACAACAAAAAACACGGACAGCGAAGGATGGGGGAAACGGAAACGCACCCTGGGGTACACCAAAGCCTGGGACAGGAGGGAACGGATGGGGATGGGCGAACCATTTGTCCCAACCATCCTGTGGTATTGGGTCTTTGTTTTGAAGAGACAGCGCTCCGCGTCTCCTTCCTCTCCTCCTCCTCCTCCTCCTCCTCCTCCTCCTCCTCCTCCTCCTCCTCCTCACACCCCTCGCACATTTCGTGGCTCCACAGGGAGCTTTACCCAAGGCGCCACTGGCGCAATTCGCATGCGTCCTGGCCAGTGATTTCGTCACACCCTCACACGTCTCGGGCCCCATGCGGAGCTCCACCCAAGGCGCCACTGGCGTAGTTCGCACGCGTCCTGGCCAGTCATTTCGCCACACCCTCACACGTCTCGGGGCCCCATGTGGAGCTCCAGCTAAGGTTAAGTCGGGCCTGTCCCCCTACAGGGAGTTGTTCGACGAATTACCCTGTGACGTACCCAACCCATTTGTATCATGGGAAACTAGGAGTTGGCCGAAACTTGCACGGACAATCAAATTGCAGGATCCGTTGTTTGAGATGTAAGCTACTTGGGACACGCGCCAATGGCACGATGCGCAGGAGAACAACACAAGAACGAGGGGCGACAACTACAGGCTCGAAGAGGACATGGGGAGTCGGGAACGAAGAGCAGGAAAAAGACGTGCGGGAAGCCCACTGTGCTGGGCCCCTCAGCAGCCCTCGGAAGTGGCGACAGTTTCACAGATCGCAGCCCCCCAGGGATGGCGAGGTCCCATTTGAACCCGCCGTGGGTACCCACTGTGCTGGGCCCCCCAGCAGGCCTCGAAAGTGGCGACAGTTTCACAGATCGCAGCCCCCCAGGGATGCCGAGGTCCCATTGGAATCCGCCGTGGGTGCCCACTGTGCTGGGCCCCTCAGCAGCCCTCGAAAGTGGCAACAGTTTCACAGATCGCAGCCCCCAGCAGCCCTCGAAACGCAGCGACGAGCGAGGTAAGAAAGTGGCGACAGTTTGACAGATCGCAGCCCCCCAGGGATGGCGAGGTCCCATTTGAATCCGCCGTGGGTGCCCACTGTGCTGGGCCCCCCAGCAGGCCTCGAAAGTGGCGACAGTTTCACAGATCGCAGCCCCCCAGGGATGGCGAGGTCCCATTTGAATCCGCCGTGGGTACCCACTGTGCTGGGCCCCCCAGCAGGCCTCGAAAGTGGCGACAGTTTCACAGATCGCAGCCCCCCAGGGATGGCGAGGTCTAATTTGAATCCGCCGTGGGTACCCACTGTGCTGGGCCCCCCAGCAGGCCTCGAAAGTGGCGACAGTTTCACAGATCGCAGCCCCCAGGGATGGCGAGGTCTAATTTGGAATCCGCCGCGGACCCACTGTGCTGGGCCCCCCAGCAGGCCTCGAAAGTGGCGACAGTTTCACAGATCGCAGCCCCCCAGGGATGGCGAGGTCCCATTTGAATCCGCCGTGGGTACCCACTGTGCTGGGCCCCCCAGCAGCCCTCGAAAGTGGCGACAGTTTCACAGATCGCAGCCCCCCAGGGATGGCGAGGTCCCATTGGAATCCGCCGTGGGTACCACTGTGCTGGGCCCCCCAGCAGCCCTCGAAAGTGGCGACAGTTTCACAGATCGCAGCCCCCAGCAGCCCTCGAAACGCAGCGACGAGCCAGGTAAAAGGCAGGGGGGGAGAGAGGGACGGGAAGGAAGGTTCGCGCGAGCAGTGTTCAAAACGAGAACCCAACGCAGGAGGGTTGGGAAAAATAATCAATACCCCAAAAATGCTCCAAAAGTAATCCCAAACATGGTCTGGGGACTATTTTTTAAAGCATTTTTTTGTCATTTTGGTGCATGTTTGGGGTATTTCCTATTTTCGTCGAAAATCTCCCTGTAGGGGGACAGGCCCGACCTAAGGTCCCAAAGGCGCAGTTCGCATGCGCCCCGGCCACCCACTTCGCCACACGCTCCCACGCCTCGTGGCCCCAGTGGAAGCTCCGCCGAAGGCGCCAGTGGCAGCGCCCGCACGGCGGCTCCGCCCCAGTTCGGC